AGGTCGCAAAAAATGTTCCCCTTCGATACCTACCACTGACATATCCACAAGTTGCTCTGGACCTATTAATTATAAATGAAATATACATACACCAAGAATGCTGGTAAATATATAAATTTGTGGACTGCATATTAAATTAATAAAGAATTATATATATATACACACATTTATATAACAGGAGAATATATCTTAATCATAACACTCACCAATTTGACTGGAGATTCATGTGTATCATACTCAGAAAACCTCACTGTCTTATCTATGAAAATAACACTGGCCAGAGTTAAACATACAAACTTATCTGAGGTTCCTGGAGTTGTCCTGTCCTGTCGCCTGATATCTCAAGTTATGCAGGAATGCACATCCAACAATTTCGCCTCCTATTTGAGAGGTGTCAACCCAATTTTAACCTCCAGAGCACGAAAAATTCTTCCCATTATACACTACCGTTAGTGTCCAATTCAAACAAAATGGCGACTCTTGTCTGCGCAGGCCCAGGTCCAGTTTCCCATTTTCCATAATATAATTCTTGTAAATGCAGTATGGCCATCTATTTACATATAACTACTGTATTTCTGGAAAATATATACAGTATTTTCCACAGATATCATTACTGGAGCTCAGCACTATAAATAATATAAATAATTACCATTTAACCTAAATGCTGAATGATCACGTCGACCCAGACCTAAATCTATATAATCTAACTCCCAATCAAAATTTAATTGATAGTAACTGCCTCTTTTATACAGCATCACAAGCCAGAACTGTTTTAAGCAATGCCAGAAATATTACAGATCTCCGTTACAATATTAGGTCCCTAAGTAAACACTATGATGACCTCCTGGCACTCCTTGAGTCCCTAAAAACAACCATCTTCTGTATTATTCTCACTGAAACCTGGCTTAAACAGGACACAATAGATATATACTCACTGCCAGGATACACAGCAATCCACATCTGCAGACCATACCAAGTTGGGGGTGGTATTGCCATCTTACTCTAATGAACTATCATGTTATAACACCACTTACTATAGTGATAAATATGGAGAATATATTTTTGTGATGAATGGTTTGAAAAACCGACAAGTTGAAGATTGAGACACTTATGCAGCATATGGGAATCTTTATTCAGGAAACGTTTCGCCACACAGTGGCTTCATCAGTCCAATACAAAGAGGAAGGCGTAAGGAGAGGAGGAGAATGAGGTAATCAGTCCCTCAACCTGGAGTCGATGTGTTCAGTCCATCAATCAGTCCATCCATCATTCTACAAGATTGATGGACTGAACACATCGACTCCAGGTTGAGGGACTGATTACCTCATTCTCCTCCTCTCCTTACGCCTTCCTCTTTGTATTGGACTGATGAAGCCACTGTGTGGCGAAACGTTTCCTGAATAAAGATTCCCATATGCTGCATAAGTGTCTCAATCTTCGAATATATTTTTGCAAATTTTACTAGAAAAAACCTTAAGACTCCTACAACAATCGGTACCATTTACCGGATGCCTCATACAAACATCCCAAATTTTAGCGATAAATTAAAGACACTAATAACAAATAATCAAATGAACAAGCACCACCTTCTCCAAGCTGGAGACTTCAACATTAACCTTGGTCTAACAGATGACCAGCCACACACTACTCATACCAGCTATAACAAAACCAACCAGGCTGACCTGGAGTTTACCTGGAGAGAGTTCCGGGGGTCAACGCCCCCGCGGCCCGGTCTGTGACCTGGCCTCCTGGTGGATCAGAGCCTGATCAACCAGGCTGTTGCTGCTGGCTGCACGCAAACCAACGTACGAGCCACAGCCCGGCTGATCCGGAACTGACTTTAGGTGCTTGTCCAGTGCCAGCTTGAAGACTGCCAGGGGTCTGTTGGTAATCCCCCTTATGTGTGCTGGGAGGCAGTTGAACAGTCTCGGGCCCCTGACACTTATTGTATGGTCTCTGAGACAAGTGCAACCATAATTGACCATATATGGACTAATATACTAGCTCCCCTTAAATCAGGGACAATCACGGACAGCGCTACTGACCACTACATCACCTTCCTCTTAACAGACAATACTAAACAACCACTGGAATACAAGGTCTCTTTTAGACTCCATGCCGTAAAACCAAGAATAACCCAACAAAAAGCCGTAGTAAGAATTATCACACAATCCAATGCTAGACAACGCACACCCCCACACTTCAAAGACCTAAACTTATTCACTGCACAAAACACTAACACCTACTACTGTGCAACCTACATTTGCAGAACCATAAATTCTAATATTAACCCTGAACTAAAACACTTTCTTGATAGTTCCAACAGGACCCATAGACACAATACCAGACACAAAAATCTCTATAACATTCCTCGTGTCCGGCTAAATCTTTACAAAAATTTGATGTACATAAAAAGGACTAAAATCTGGAACTCCCTGCCTGAAAACTCTAGAACCGCAGACTCAACCATCATCAAAATTACCGTTAAAATTTTTTATCTCCCTAACACACCCCATCATCAGCAAACTATATGAAAACCACCTATTCTCTTTCTTGTATCGTGCACACATCTGTGAAAATATTATTATATTTATTATTAGTAGAAAATCACCTGCAGGTTTACAAGACACCACCTGAATTGTTACCTGCAAGTAATTTGGGTGAGGTAAGTGGGACTTGAGTCAGAGCAGGTCACAGAACTGCCACTCCTTCGACTCCCCACTTCTACACCTCTTTCACAAAATGTTGGACCTAACATTGAATTAATAATTACAGCATTAAAAACAGCTACTCTGGTTCATTGTTGTGAACTGTATTTTATTTCGGTTTACTTGCTGGATACACAAAAATATAACTATTAATACATATAATCCAATGGTGTTATTAGAAAAGAACTTTGCATTATCACTTACCATTCAATTGCTGGAAGACAATGATGATGGAACACACCCTAACCTAACTCCTATAATAATCAAAAAGAAGCGCTAAGCCACAAGGGCTATACAGACCTAACTCCTAGTAGCTAGAATTTACGATGGCACAGACCTAACTCCTAGTAGCTAGAATTTACGATGGCACAGACCTAACTCCTAGTAGCTAGAATTTACGATGGCACAGACCTAACTCCTAGTAGCTAGAATTTACGATGGCCAACACAAAAACTGTATATTAAGGGTAGGCACTTACCCAAGGTCTGTTGTTGGGAAAGATTCATTGAAGTCCTCTATTTTCGTTCTCCAGACACAATTCTTGCGATCCAGCAAAATTTTCTGTCTCAGTTCTTCAACAGGAACGTGTCAGCAATTTCTAAATTACGAACCGAGGCCGATATACACCAATTTGTCCTCGGATGACACCGAATTAATAGCACCACTCTAACCCACGCTCGTTCATTACATTCAACATGGCGTCTCTGTTGGCTGTTCCATCCCCCCGCCCCTTTCCACTTAAAATTTCTCGAAGGGTCCAAACAGCATCTTATATTATTACACAATTATTGTATTATTCATTTATATGTTCTACATTTAGGAAATTATATATAAAAAATCCACAAATCAAATCGCTTGTGCTCTCTAGGCTGGAATACTGCTGTACACTAGCGGCCCCTTCAAGGCTGGCGACATCGCACACCTGGAGAGTGTACAAAGAACTTTCACGGCACACATAAGATAAGATAAGATTTTCGGATTTTTAACCCCGGAGGGTTAGCCACCCAGGATAACCCAAGAAAGTCAGTGCGTCATCGAGGACTGTTTAACTTATTTCCATTGGGGTCCTTAATCTTGTCCCCCAGGATGCGACCCACACCAGTCGACTAACACTCAGGTACCTATTTGCTGCTAGGTGAACAGGACAATAGGTGTAAGGAAACGTGTCGAAATGTTTCCACCAGCCGGGAATCGAACCCGGGCCCTCCGTGTGTGAAGCGGGAGCTTTAGCCACCAAGCCACCGGGCCACATAAGTACGATAAGGCACTAAACTACTGGGAATAGTTGAAGGTCCTTGATCTGTATTTCCTCGAACGCAGGGGGGAGAGAGAGATACATGATAATATACACTTGGAAGTTCCTGGAGGGAATGCTACCAAATCTGTACACGAAAATCACTCCATATGAAAGCAAAAGACTCGGCAGGAGATGCAACATTCCCCCGATGAAAAGCAGGGGTGCCACGAGTAACAGCCTGGTTGATCAGACCCTGATCCATCATGAGGCCTGGTCTCAGACCGGGCCGCGGGGGCGTTGACCCCGGAAACCCTCTCCAGGTAAACATCCAAAACAAGACAGACTTACTCTCGTTATCTGTAATCACCCTTAATTTACACTTACACTCATCCAAATGACTGCAAACATAAAATTCCTAATATAACTATTGCCTAATAAATCTTAAGTTTGTCCTAAGTTTGCCCAAGATACTCTTTAATAGAAATAGTGTACCATGCCAAGACAAAACCATTCCCATTACTATATTTACTAATTGTAATATTATTTGTGCTGTACTACCTCACTATTATAAATATAATTAATCACTTCAGTTATCAAACTTTTATATCAGTCTGCAATAAAGTATATTAAAATGTACTGCTCCATAACCTGTGTCAATATAGAGTAAGAATTAGGATTAGTCTGCCCGACATGCCTAGGCATGCTAGTGGCCATCTTTGTAATTTATATTTTTTCTAATATGTAAACCACATATTATAAGCTTTGCAACTTAGTTTAGTTTAATTACTTTAATTATGCACCCCATACCCATCCTGTGGGAGGTAGTCAGAAGATTACAGATGGAAATAAACATTTTCATTTTGAAGGAAGGTTCAATGAGGCATTTAAGTTTTGGTGTCCCTTAACACCTCCAGCAATATGGTCAGTAGTTGTGTTTATAGGAAAAATTATTTCGGATTATAGCTTATTTCTGTGCCTCGGGGTCAATATTTTTGTTTAAAAGAGTCATAGATGCCAGCTAAACTGTGGCAAGGTGGACATGAAATGGGGTTCCTGGTAATTTGCTCCGAGAAGAGTAATGTACAGCAAGATTTGGCAGTGTTCCGTGAACTACAGTGTAAAAAAATGCAAAGTAATTTTAAACCCCCCTCAAGGGAGGTTCTTTGGTGAAGGTGAGGGGCTCTTGTTCCAAGGAATTGGAACTATGCTCCCCTTAGATCAAAGTTGAATGCCTCCCATTCCTTGAGGCGCTCTATGACCCCTATGCCCCTCAAGGAAGGTTCCTTGATGCTGGTGAGGGGCTCTTGATCTAGGGAATTAGATCTGTGCTCCAGTTCCCTGAATTAAGCCTATATACCTTCCACATCCCCCCACAGGCGCTGCATAATACTACGGGTTTAGTGCTCCCCCTTAATTATAATAATAATAATATAATCCCTATGGATTTAGCGCTCCTCCATGGATAATAATATCTGACATACTATAAAGTCGCTGGTTATGTTGAGTGTTTCTGGCAACTTAAGTTATTGTTGTACCCCAGGATGCAACCCACAACAGTCGACTAACACCCAGGCACCTACTTGCTGCTAGGTGACAGGGACAGCAGGTGTGAGGTAACAAACACCCAGGTACCTACTAGCTCTAGCAACCACTGAAACCCTGAGTTATAGCCATAATGTTAAATATTGATAACGAGGCATGCCTAACTATCTTCGGTGGCAGATTTTCTCAATTAATATTGCCCTTCAAGGTGGGGGAGGGGGGAATAATGCCTTGATATTGGTGAAGGGCTCTTGATCCAAGGAGGACCTGCCCCTCTCTGGATCAAACATTGTATCACCTACAGCATTGCTGTATGACCCTTACGGGTTTAGCACTTTGTTGATTATAATAACAACGTGCCACCCACAGCACTGTGTAATTCTCATAGGTATAGCACTTATGAATATATGTAATAATAATAATTTACCTTTTAAAAAATATTAAATATTTATTGCTAACTTTTCAGATGCTGATGCAATCAGTGTCTTTGCTGTCATCTTGCAGCAGAGTTGCTTTAGCTGCTTCAAGACCGGCAGTTGTTGCTAGAAATGTGCTGAAGTCGATCGTTGGAGAGAAACCTAACCTGTCTTCAAGACTCTTCAGTTGTCAGCAGCTCAGTGCTGCAACTGTGACGGCATGCAACTTTGCTTTGAAAACAGCTCCAAAGTAAGGTTATTTAAAATCTTTAGTATTTCTTATTAATTTTACTTTTTTTTGTGAATCTAAAGCATGCACTGTATTACTGCATAAAAAAAAAATTGCCAAAATTAACTTTGCTATATATTATTCATCCTTCAAGAGGAATTTTTTGATGCCAGTGAGGGGCTCTTAATCTAAGACATTGGGGCTACCCTCCCCTTGCTTGGATCAGATATTATAATCACCCATTCCACAGGCACTGAATGATTGTGTGATTAGTGCTTTCTTGTGCATATAATAAAAATATATATTATTGTTTGCCTTGTATAACTGTAGACTTTACATATGTAGTATCTACCATAGAAAGTCTGTGGTTCTTGCAGTTGTATCCCCTTGAAGAAGATTCCTTCATGCTGGTGAGGGGCTCCTGATCCAAGGAATTGCACTTGTTCCCTTCATGGATCAAACCTGATTGACTCCCAGGCACTGTATTGACCCTACGAGTTTTACGCTTCCCTTAACTATAATAATAATAATAATAATAATGCAGTCTTCTAATTTTTTTAAATATTTCTACCAGTTCAATATTCAGGCGAAGCACTTCACTTGCTTCAGTGGCTTCGGCAGGTTAATTATTCAGCAGCTTTCCATGTTTGTTTTTTGTACTGTAAATCAAAACTAGCACAAAACTTTAATATCTAGTAGAATAGGGCCCATTGTTTGACTTTACTGGGTCTTCCATGATATAATACATATTTTTTTTTTTTTCAACAAGTCGGCTGTCTCCCACCGAGGCAGGGTGACCCAAAAAAGAAAGAAAATCCCCAAAAAAGAAAATACTTTCATCATCATTCAACACTTTCACCACACTCACACATTATCACTGCTTTTGCAGAGGTGCTCAGAATACAACAGTTTAGAAGCATATACGTATAAAGATACACAACATATCCCTCCATATGAGTACTAATATCATGTGTTTCCTTACTATAATTGTAAAAATGAAAATTATATGCTATGAATTGATTGCCTTAATAAAACCTTCCCTAACACACTGACTAGTATTGCATAATAATGGTGGTGTTTAAACTTTTACAACAGATTGCATTTTTCTAATTTCTCATAGACCTTCCTTAGAGAACACAAATCAAGGAAAATGCATTGTGCTAAGCAGTGTTTTTGCTGTATTAAACATATTCCTGCTTCTCACACTTAATGCATTGGAAAATGAGCAAATACTCCAAAATAGTACTGCTTTACTATTGTTAAAGATAGTAACAAAAATAATTTGAATATATTAATGATACAGTTTACTGAAATCTGGTGTAATGCAATTAGAATAGATTGGCTTGTGCTGTATAGAACATGTGGCTGAATTAATATTTGGAGAGAGATATTAGAAGAAGAATTTATTGCTTTGTGATGCTGGATCACAGTAATAATGCATGTTATTGGATGATACTGACCTAATTCATGTCTGCATAAATAACTCATTACAGTTGTAACCAGATATAAACATGTAAGTAGTTCATTACCACTGTAACTTGTTTAACTATCAGAACTTTGCAGCCCAGTCTCTGCTGGACCCATTATGTTCCTCTGTAATCTTTTGACTACCACCCACAGGATGGGTATGGAGTCCATAACAGAAATATTAAACTAACTAAAACCAGTACTGTAGTGAATACTTACAGTATATAGAGCATAAACATAAATACACAAAAGGGAGCAAAGATTCATTTTCGTTTTTAATTTCTGAATATCTTTTCTTAGGTTTGGAGACAAGTCATGAACTGAGTTTGTATATATGTTAATATTGTATGCTAATATTACAGATTGACAGCACCATTAGGAACAGTGCCGTCTGTGTGGATGCCAAAATGCCAACAATATCTCTTAGCTCCTCCTCTACCTCTCAGCACAACTCAGACTCGCTCAGTCACCAAGTGGTCCTTGCGAAAAGGCAAGCGCAAGACAGTTAGAACAGTAATCTGCCGCTTTAAGAGAATTTCATGGTAAGTTTTATTAATTTGGACAGTGTGAATATTACTTTGCTTAAAATGTAACACTTTTAATCTCATATTAGGATGTTCCTTTATGTTTGTAATTTAATAATTTTGGCCTTCTTACTACTGTGACTTATTAACTCACAAAATAATTTTAGTATTATGTAAACTAAAATGTATTTTTTTTTTTAAGAACTTCTTAAGTGAAAATGTATCAAAATTATTATTATTATTTATTTATTTATTTTTTTTGTATATTCTTGACTGCAGCTATCCATATTGCATCTTCAGCACTAGTGAGACACTCTTAGTGATTTTAATGTGTACCTGCATACCAACACAGTGTGTAAGTTTATTTAGGTACAGGTAGACATAAGTACAATTATCAGAGTACATACATATAAATTGGGAGCGAGGGGCTAGTAACCCCTTCTCCTGTATAAATACTAAATTTAAAAAGAGAAACTTTCATTTTTATTTTTGGGCCACCCTGCCTTGGTGGGATACGGCCGGTTTGTTGAAAGAAGAAACAAGTATGTATAAAGTATGCAGTAACTTTCAAACACTTAAAATTTTGGAAAGTTTCCAGACACAATTGAGAGATGTGGAGCTCACAAAGGACCCCAGTGGAAATTTGTTACTTTCTGTGGCTTTTTTGGGTTATCCTAGGTTCTCTATACACATGCTGCTATGTATGATAATCTGTAACTGTTTTTGTGTATACTTGAATAAACTTACTTACACAGAAGATGTAAACAAACAGAGTAGATGTGGATGCCATAAGAGTAAATTAGGAAGCTATATAAACAAATTTTGGGTTGTGATTTGAAATGTCCGTATTAGTGAATCGCCATAAAGCAGGGCCCTCCTGAATTATAAATTTTCAAATTAGTTTGTAGTATTTCCTTTGAACTGTATACTTAATTTGAAATTCCATCTGTCTTATTTCCTTTATTAGAAATAAACTCTAGGGTACCTTCTAGATTATACAGAATGGTAGAGCGTCGGACTGTCAGTTTATGGACTGCTATTCGAGCCCCTTATCCACCTTTCTGTTTATTCATCAACAGTTGTTTATTACAACTTGATTTGAGTTTAAAGACAGAGATTTAGTTACTGTACTCAGATTAAATTAGAAATTTATTATTTCTGCTGTTATATTCGTAATATCGGCCAACTCCCACCAAGGTAAGGTGATCCTGCAAAGAGGAAAATATTCGCACTGTCATTCACTCAGTCACTCTTTTTGCCAGAAGCTGACTTAGGGAGGTAGGTATTAGGTTTGTCAGAAAACAGGACGCGTTTCATGAGTCATGTGATTACCCACAGCTGGAGCTTTTGGTCATCTGACAGATGCCTTCTGCTGGCTTACCAGTCCACCCCTTTAAAAATTATGGTTATAACTATTTTATAGAAGCTCACTGATATTATTATTATTTATTTGTGAGGAAGCACAAACCCATAAGGGTCATTTATATATGGGCTGTGGAAAAGAAGGGCAACTCTATTTCCTCAAATCAAGAGACTTTCAGCATCAAGGTACCCTCCTTGAAGGATTTAAAAAGATTTGATATTTTTTTTATATACGGTACTATATGATAACTACTTTACTTTTATAACTATCAAAGCTGTTGCTACAGAAGTCTGTACTTGAAGATACTGTACTGTACATACTTTCAAGGGAGGTGCCTTGATGTTGGTGAGGGGTTCTTGATGCAGTGAATTGGACCAGTCATTCCTCTTCTAGGATGAAACTGGATTGCCTCCTATTTCCCTTGCACTTCATGACCTTTCCAGGTTTAGTGCGTAGTCTGATTATTCTGTTCCCTTAGGTGCTGTACGAACACTACAGGTGTAGCACTCCTTACACTTGAAAATAATAATAATAATAATAATAATAATAATGAACATAACTGCTTTTGTAACATTTGAGCAAAATCGTTTGTGATCGCCCACTCAAAACTCAAAACTTGGAAGGGAGGTACAAAGATGTAGATTATGTTCTATGCTGTTGTACGTAGATTATATTAACTTAATTCATTTCAGGCCAGGCAGAGGCATTTGGATACGACCAAGAGCAGGAGCTAAAAACAAAATGTGGAAGAAGTCTCCTGCAGAAAGACGGCGATGCAAGACACATGTTTTTTGTAATGCTACACAGTCCCAAATGTTAGATAAAATGGTAGGTATTTTGCTATTTTATGTATGGTAATAGTATGAATCATAGATAGTAGGTTGGTAGACAACAACCGATCAGGGAGGTACTACCGTCCTGCCAAGTGAATGTAAAACAGAAGCCTGCAATTATTTTACATGATGGTAGGATTGCTGGTGTCTGTTGTCTGTCTCATGAACATGCAAGATATCAGGTACGTCTTGCTACTTCTTCTTACACTTAGGTCACACATACATGTACAAGCATATATATATACACCCCTCTGGGTTTTCTTCTATTTTCTTACTAGTTCTTGTTCTTGTTTATTTTGTCTTATCTCCATGGGGAAGTGGAACAGAATTCTTCCTCGGTAAGTCATGTGTCGTAAGAGGCGACTAAAATACCGGGAGCAAGGGGCTAGTAACCCCTTCTGTATACATTACTAAAGTTAAAAAGAGAAACTTTTGTTTTTCCTTTTTGGGCCACCCTGCCTCGGTGGGATACAGCCGGTTCGTTGAAAGAAGAAAAGAGAGGAGTATGAATGGTAATTCCACAGAAAATTTGCTCTCTGTCTCTCTCTCTCTCTCTCAACAAGTTGGCTGTCTCCCACCTAGGCAGGGTGACCCAAAAAGAAAGAAAATCCCCAAAAGGAAAATACTTTCATCATTCAACACTTTCACCTCACTCATACAAAATCACTGTTTTTGCAGAGGTGCCCAGATACAACAGTTTAGAAGCATATATAAAGATGCAAAATATAAAGTGTCCTGAAATAATATAATAAACTCCCTATAGAATATAATATCAGGGCCCCAGTTATATATACATACCTTGACTCAAGAAATCGTAATGACACGATTGCAAATAAACCATACCCCCAGCCGGGATTGAACCCGCGGTCATAGAGTCTCAAAACTCCAGCCCGTCGCGTTAGCCACTAGACCAGCTAGCCACAATAAGATTCATCCAACTAGGTATATTTCTACACCATAGGAAAGTTAGCACAGGCACCTCTGTGACCACAAATGCAAGTTTTTACAGACGAATCTCCAGCTAGCGTGGCCGTGACGAACTCTAGCTAGAGTTCGTCACGGCCACGCTAGCTGGAGATTCGTCTGTAAAAACTTGCATTTGTGGTCACAGAGGTGCCTGTGCTAACTTTCCTATGGTATAGAAATATACCTAGTTGGATGAATCTTATTGTGGCTAGCTGGTCTAGTGGCTAACGCGACGGGCTGGAGTTTTGAGACTCTATGACCGCGGGTTCAATCCCGGCCGGGGGTATGGTTTATATACATACCTTCCTAATACACATCCCTTCAAGCTGCCAATATTCCAAACCCCTCCTTTAAAGTGCAGGCATTATACTTCCCATTTCCAGAACTCAAGTCTGGCTATATAAAAATAACAGCTTGTCAGGTTCCAAAAACCATTCGTCTCCATTCACTCCTATCTAACACACTCGTGCACGCTTGCTGGAAGTCCAAGCACCTCACCCACAAAGCCTCCTTGACCCTTTCCCTCCAACCTTTTCGAGGATGACCCCTACCCCGCCTTCCTTCCCCTTCAGATTTATACGCTCTCCATGTCATTCTACTTTGATTATTCTCTCTAAATGACCAAACCACCTCACCAACCCCTCTTTAGCCCTCTGACTAATACGTTTATTACCTCCACACCTTCTAATTTCCACACTCCGAGTTTTCTGCATAATATTTACACCACACATTGCCCTTAGACAGGACATCTCCACTGCCTCCAACCACCTCCTTGCTGCAGCATTTACAACCCAAGCTTCACATCCATATAAGAGTGTTGGTACCACTATACTTTCATACATTCCCATCTTTGCCTCCATAGATAACATTTTTTTTATTTTTTATTTATTTTATTATCACACCGGCCGATTCCCACCAAGGCAGGGTGGCCCGAAAAAGAAAAACTTTCACCATCATTCACTCCATCACTGTCTTGCCAGAAGGGTGCTTTACACTACAGTTTTTAAACTGCAACATTAACACCCCTCCTTCAGAGTGCAGGCACTGTACTTCCCATCTCCAGGACTCAAGTCCGGCCTGCCGGTTTCCCTGAATCCCTTCATAAATGTTACTTTGCTCACACTCCAACAGCACGTCAAGTATTAAAAACCATTTGTCTCCATTCACTCCTATCAAACACGCTCACGCATGCCTGCTGGAAGTCCAAGCCCCTCGCACACAAAACCTCCTTTACCCCCTCCCTCCAACCCTTCCTAGGCCGACCCCTACCCCGCCTTCCTTCCACTACAGACTGATACACTCTTGAAGTCATTCTGTTTCGCTCCATTCTCTCTACATGTCCGAACCACCTCAACAACCCTTCCTCAGCCCTCTGGACAACAGTTTTGGTAATCCCGCACCTCCTCCTAACTTCCAAACTACGAATTCTCTGCATTATATTCACACCACACATTGCCCTCAGACATGACATCTCCACTGCCTCCAGCCTTCTCCTCGCTGCAACATTCATCACCCACGCTTCACACCCATATAAGAGCGTTGGTAAAACTATACTCTCATACATTCCCCTCTTTGCCTCCAAGGACAAAGTTCTTTGTCTCCACAGACTCCTAAGTGCACCACTCACTCTTTTTCCCTCATCAATTCTATGATTCACCTCATCTTTCATAGACCCATCCGCTGACACGTCCACTCCCAAATATCTGAATACGTTCACCTCCTCCATACTCTCTCCCTCCAATCTGATATTCAATCTTTCATCACCTAATCTTTTTGTTATCCTCATAACCTTACTCTTTCCTGTATTCACCTTTAATTTTCTTCTTTTGCACACCCTACCAAATTCATCCACCAATCTCTGCAACTTCTCTTCAGAATCTCCCAAGAGCACAGTGTCATCAGCAAAGAGCAGCTGTGACAACTCCCACTTTGTGTGTGATTCTTTATCTTTTAACTCCACGCCTCTTTGCCAAGACCCTCGCATTTACTTCTCTTACAACCCCATCTATAAATATATTAAACAACCACGGTGACATCACACATCCTTGTCTAAGGCCTACTTTTACTGGGAAAAAATTTCCCTCTTTCCTACATACTCTAACTTGAGCCTCACTATCCTCGTAAAAACTCTTCACTGCTTTCAGTAACCTACCTCCTACACCATACACTTGCAACATCTGCCACATTGCCCCCCTATCCACCCTGTCATACGCCTTTTCCAAATCCATAAATGCCACAAAGACCTCTTTAGCCTTATCTAAATACTGTTCACTTATATGTTTCACTGTAAACACCTGGTCCACACACCCCCTACCTTTCCTAAAGCCTCCTTGTTCATCTGCTATCCTATTCTCCGTCTTACTCTTAATTCTTTCAATTATAACTCTACCATACACTTTACCAGGTACACTCAACAGACTTATCCCCCTATAATTTTTGCACTCTCTTTTATCCCCTTTGCCTTTATACAAAGGAACTATGCATGCTCTCTGCCAATCCCTAGGTACCTTACCCTCTTCCATACATTTATTAAATAATTGCACCAACCACTCCAAAACTACATCCCCACCTGCTTTTAACATTTCTATCTTTATCCCATCAATCCGGCTGCCTTACCCCCTTTCATTTTACCTACTGCCTCACGAACTTCCCCCACACTCACAACTGGCTCTTCCTCACTCCTACAAGATGTTATTCCTCCTTGCCCTATACACGAAATCACAGCTTCCCTATCTTCATCAACATTTAACAATTCCTCAAAATATTCCTTCCATCTTCCCAATACCTCTAACTCTCCATTTAATAACTCTCCTCTCCTATTTTTAACAGACAAATCCATTTGTTCTCTAGGCTTTCTTAACTTGTTAATCTCACTCCAAAACTTTTTCTTATTTTCAACATATACCTCAATGCACCACTCACCTTTTTGTCCTTCATCAATTCTATGGTTAACCTCATCCTTCATAAACCCATCCACTGACATGTCAACTCCCATATATCTAAAAACATTCACCACTTCCATACTCCCTCTCTCCAATGTGATATCCAGTTTTTTTTTTTTTATCTAAATCATTTGATACCCTCATCACTTTACTCTTATCTGTGTTCACTTTCAACTTTCTACCTTTACACACCCTCCCAAACTTGTCCACTAACCTTTGCAACTTTTCTTTAGAATCTCCTATAAGCATCATATCATCAGCAAAAAGTAACTGTGTCAACTCCCATTTTGTATTTGATTCCCCATAATTTCATCTAGCATTTACTTTTTTTACAACCCCATTCATAAATATATTAAACAATCTTTGTGACATTACACATCCCTGTCAAAGACCTACTTTTACCAGGAAGTAATCTCCCTCTTTTCTACACACCCTAACCGGAGCCTCACTATCCTCATAAACACTCTTTACAGCATTTAGTAACTTACTACCTATTCCATATACTTGCAACATCTGCTACATTGTTTCCCTATCCACTCAATCATACGCCTTTTCTAAATTCATAAATGCAATGAAAACTTCCCTACCTTTATCTAAATACTGTTCACACATGCTTCAATGTAAACACTTCATCTACACATCCCCTACCCAGTCTAAAGCCTCCTTGCTCATCCACAATCAAACTGTCTTATCTCTAATTCTTTCAATAATAACCCTACCGTACACTTTTTCTGGTATACTCGGTAAGCTTATTCCCCTATAATTTTTACAGTCTCTTTTGTCCCCCTTTCCTTTATATGAAGAAACTATACATGCTCTCTGCCAATCTCTAGGTACCTTCCCCTCTTTCATACATTTATTAAACAAAAATACCAACCACTCCAACATTTTTTCTTCCCCCCCTCCCCTGCTTTTAACATTTTTCTCATGATCCCATCAGTTCCAGCTGCTTTACCCCCTTTCATTCTTCGTAATGCCTCACACACCTCCCCCACACTCACAAACTGCTCTTCTTCACTCTTAAAAGATGTTATACCTCCCTGGCCAGTGCATGAAATTACTGCCTCCCTTTCTTCATCAGCATTTAAAAGTTCCTCAAAATATTCCCGCCATCAACCCAATACCTCCATCTCCCCATCTACTAACTCCCCTACTCTGTTTTTAACTGACAAATCCATTCGTTCCCTAGGCTTTCTTAACTTGTGTATCTCACTCCAAAATTTTTTCTTATTTTCATAAAAATTTCTTGACAGTGCCTCTCCCACTCAGTCATCTGCTCTCCTTTTGCACTCTCTCACCACTCTCTTCACCTTTCTTTTACTCTTCATATAACACTTCTACTTTGTAAAAACCTCTCATAAGCTACTTTTTTCTTTTTTATCACACCTTTTACTTCAACATTCCACCAATCACTCCTCTTTCCTCCTGTACCCACCCTCCTATAGTACAAACTTCTGCCCCACATTCTAATACTGCATTTTTAAAACTATTCCAACCCTCTTCAACCCCCCCCCCCCCCATTACTCAAACTTGCACTAGCCCACCTTTCTGCCAATAGTTGCTTATATCTCACCCTAACATCCTCATCCTTTAGTTTATACACTTTCACCTCTCTCTTACTTTTTGTTGCCATTTTCCTTTTGTCCCATCTACCTCTTACTCTAACTGTAGCTACAACTAAATAATGATCCGATATATCAGTTGCCCCTCTATAAACACGTACATCCTGAAGCCTACCCATCAACCTTTTATCCACCAATACATAATCTAACAAACTACTTTCATTACATGCTATATCATACCTTGTATACTTATTTATCCTCTTTTTCATAAAATATGTATTACTTATTACCAAACCTCTTTCTACACATAGCTCAATTAAAGGCTTCCTATTTTTATTTACCCCTGGCACCCCAGACTTACCTACTACTCCCTCCACAACATTTATACCCACTTTAGCATTGAAATCCCCAACCACAAGAACTCTCACACTTGGTTCAAAACTCTCCATGCACTTAACATTTCCCAAAATCTCTCTCCTCTACACTTCTCTCTTCTCCAGGTGCATGAACACTTACTATAACCCGCTTTTCACATCCAACCCTTATTTTATTCCACATAACCCTTGAATTAATACATTTATATTCCTTCTTTTCCTGCCATAATTTATCCTTCAACATTAGTGCTACTTCTTCTTTAGCTCTAACTCTATTTGAAACCTCTGACTTTATCCCATTTATTTCTCCCCACTGAAACTCTCCCACCCCCTTTAGCTTTGTTACACTTTAAGCCAGGACACCCAGCTTCTTCTCATTCCTAACATCCACAATCATTTCTTTCTTATCATTTGCACAACATCCATGCACATTCAAACATCCCACTTTGATGGTTTTCTTCTTTTTCTTTTTAGTAGGTTGTACGGAAAAAGGGATTACTAGCCCATTGTTCACGGCATTTTAGTTGACTTTTACAACACGCATGGCTTACGGAGGAAAGATTCTTATTCCACTTCCCCATGGATATAAAAGGAAAAGCAATAAGAACAAGAACTATTAAGATAAAATCAAAGAAAACTCAGATCAGTGTGTATACATAAATGTGTACATGAATGTGTAGTGTGACCTAAATGTAAGTAGAAGTAGCAAGACGTACCTGAAATCTTGCGTATTTATGAGACAGAAAAAAGACACCAGCAATCCTACCATCGTGTAAAACAATTACAGGCTTTCGTTTTACACTCGCTTGGCAGGATAGTAGTACCTCCCTGGGTTGTTGCTGTCTACCAATCTACTACATATATTTTTTAATCAAGGGGCAATGCCCTTCAAGGTCATAGCACCTGGGGAATGGAAGGCATTCAGGTTCAGTCCAAGGAATGGGAGGTTGTCCAGTTCCTTGGATCAAGAGCCCCTCACCAGCATCAAGGCACCTAACTTGAAGGGTGCACACTGACTAGTAATCTTTGGTTTAAATATGGAATTAAGTGGTTTAGTTCCAATATTTTGTGGTAAACTATTCTTTGCTCTGTGCCATGAGATGCCCAGAACTAATTTAAATTAATGGTCAGTTTAAGGGTTTTACATAGCTGATGTAAAAGACTCACTAGAAGATAAGATTAAGAAAGGCTAACACATCTAGTTACAGGATTATCATAGAACTGGGGGCAAAGATAAATTGAATTGTGTGAAGATAACCATGATAATGACAGTGTGAACTGTTAGGTGATTGTACCTGATTTAGCAATCGTTATTTAATGATTATTTAAGATTAATTTATTTTTCTTTCTTTCTGGCCATGTATAGGTGACAAGATACTGGAAGAAACCACGGTACTACCCAGATGACCCTTACAGGCCATATATGCGACGAGATAACTTTCATTTAACTCAGTCCTACCCAAGAGAATTTTATTAAGCCTGTGTAGAAAGGTCTCAAGATGTGCATAGCAAATAAATTAATTGTAAATATATAACTACCTTGAGTTGTGTATTTTGTCATCGTTCTTAACTTTTGAGCATACATACACATTCCTTAGATCCAACTTGATTATGTTCCTTTCCCAGGTTCTATGATCCTCATGAATAAAAGAGCTGCTGCTGTATGACTCTTTTGGGATTAGCATTTAGCTTTTATTATATTATCAAAACCCTTGATAGGGCTCAGGAGTTGTAGATGAACACTATGAAGAAGCAGTGATGTTGTATGTCACATATGGGTTTATGTAGCTCCAAGGAATTGGCACTACCATTCCTTCAGACTGAACCTGATCATCTCCCTTACCCAGATGCTGTATAACTTCTACAGGTTCAACACTATCCCATGAGTGTCTGCACCACCTTGGTGCTGGTAAAAGACAAATGATCCAAGGAATTGGAAGGATCTTTCCCTTAGTGAATAAAATATGTGCAACACTTGGATATCTTCACTGAATACAGGATATCTTCAACTGAATACAGAGGAGACTTAAATATTAGAGAACATAAAAGTGGTGAAGAAGTAAATATGAGGTGATCAGTCCCCAACCCAGTCTTGAAAAAGTAATTTTGAAGTGGTCAGTCTGTCAGCCTTGATAAGTGTTCAGCGCTGTAGCCATGATGCTAAAAAGCTGAAGTTATCAAGGCTGCGGGACTGATCACCTCATATTTACCTCTGCTGCTTTTGCTGTCTCCAATATTTAAATCTGTGTATTCAAATTAAGAGGCCTACTGAGCAGGCTAAACATCGCGCATATATAGTTACCGTATTTTCCGGCATAAAAGGCACACGAACATTAGACACACAAGGCATTTCCAAGCAGTTGCATGTATAATGTAACGTTAATAAACAACAACTAAAGCGTAACCCAAAGCCTAGCCTTGACCCTGACCTTGAGCTTATAAGGTGCCTGGTGATTTTCGAAGATTTTTGTGTGTGTGTGGGGGGGGGGTAAAAGCATGCCTTATATGCCAGAAATTTTTTTTTTTTTTTTTCAACAAGTCGGCCGTCTCCCACCGAGGCAGGGTGACCCAAAAAAGAAAGAAAATCCCCAAAAAGAAAATACTTTCATCATCATTCAACACTTTCACCACACTCGCACATTATCACTGTTTTTGCAGAGGTGCTCAGAATACAACAGTCTAGAAGCATACACATATAAAGATACACAACATATCCCTCCAAACTGCCAATATCCCAAACCCCTCCTTTAAAGTGCAGGCATTGTACTTCCCATTTCCAGGACTCAAGTCCGACTATATGAAAATACAGAAAATACAGTACCTAAATGTTGCACTCGTCTTACTCAACTATTTATATGTACTGTATACCATTACATGTAATTTTTATAGCCTCTCTTCACTTAACGATGGAGTTTCGTTCCTAAGACCACGTCAGTAAATGAATTTCGCTAAGTGAGGAACATACTATAATGGTAAGTGGGTCTGTGTCAACCATCTTTGATATTTTTTAATGTCACCTTTGCACCATTTATAACATTTCTGGTATATTTTTAAATGTTTATACAGTAGTGTACTGTATATTGTAATGAACAGAATACAGCCTCTCCTCACATAGCGATGTACATGTACTAGTTTACCGACACCTCGGACTTATGACAGGCTCTCTGACCAGTATTTATACCTAAATGTATATTAGAGCTGATTTTCTCTGTTCTGTTTATTGCAATATACAGTATACTACTGTATAAACATTTAAAAATATACCAGAAAAGTTAAAAATGGTGCATAGTGACATAAAAAGCAGTATAATAATTGGTTGACACAAACCCACTACCATTATAGTATGCTCCTCACTTAGCAACGAATTTGTTGATCGACAAGGTCTTAGGAATAGAACTCTGTCGTTGAGGAGAGGCTGTAGAGGAAATCAGCTCTTACATACATTATTTAGGTATGCATACTGGCCGGGGAGCCTGTCGTAAATCCAAGTCATCGATAAACGAGTAAGTCGCTAAGTGAGGAGAGGCTGTATTATTACTGTAATAATTAAGCGCTAAACCCATAATATAATATAATATAATACCTTTTCCTCGGATTAAATCTGATTACCTCCCACTTCCCAGGCATTATATAACCCCTACGCTGTATAGCCCTGTGGCTTAGCGCTTCTTTTTGATTATAATAATAATATAACCCCTACAAGTTTAGTGCTTCCCTGTGAATATATACATGTGCATGATGGCTCAAAATTTTGTTAAGGTAGACTAAGCTGCTGTATTGACCAGCAACTAATCAATGGCACTATATGTTGCCTTTCTAAAGGCAGCATGTGGTGGCTTATTTTAAATGGCGAAACTTGAAACCTGTAGGGAATGGGAGGCAATACGCTTTAATCCATGGAAAGGGAAAAATGAGTCCAGTTCCTTGGATTAACAGCCCCTCACATCAGGACACCTCCCTTGAGAGGATATAGATCCTATATACTCCTGTGCTCTTACTTCAGACATATAATACAGCACTGACCTTAATAACTCCTGGTAGTCATTCGACTTTAAATCCAATAAACCAAGGAACAATACACCAGCGAATGACCCTCATGGGTTTAGTGCTTCTCTCTATTATTATGATTTGTGGCAAGATAATCACATTCAGATTTCTGGTGGAAAACTATTTAGAATTTCATGTTACTATATAATTATTATTAAGTTACAAAAGTTGACCATGTTACAAAATCATCAGAGACCTAGCCAAAGTCTTCGAGTAGTCCTGCATTAAACAAGCCAGCATTATTTTAAAAATTTTAATACTAGGCATTATCACAATCATGGGGAAGTGCTAAACACAAAAGAGTCACACAATGTTTTGTTGAACATGGGTAGATAATAAAGTCATTTATATAAAGTCCCTATTGTTGCAACTATAAAACTAAAAAATATAATCCATTGTCCAATATGATGCTTGTTGTATATTTGTTGTGCTGAAAAAGTAATTTTTAATTTTATGTATTAAAACTGTCATAGTTACAAGAGTACACAAGTGCTGTATGACCCTTATAGGTTTAGTGCCTCCTATGAATGTAATAATAAAAAGTCAATGCATAACAATTCACTGTTCTGCATTTACCATAAAAGACATGAGATGCCCTAACGTAGCAACATTTGACTGAATAATACGTTTAATACGCTCTGTATAGCAGGGACCCATGGGCGGTTCAGAGGTACGTTGGTGGTGACCTGAGGGCAACTCTAACCAACGATCTGGTGAGGGAGTATGGTCACGCATGTACAGCCATACATCCTGAAGTATACATACTAATTCAAATGGTGCTAATGCATCAACCATTTGTGGCAACACCCCCAGAGGACCTGGCAAGAATTGAGCAGTAACCATCACTTCTAAAAGATATCGTGTAGCATGTAGAGCCTCTGGAGCTTGCTTGGCTGTAGAAAGGGGACAAGTATTCCAGTATGCTGTGAGAGCAGCTGTTAGTGCTCGAACAAGTACAGAGCAATAGCTAAGGGCTGCACGATGAGTAGCCACAAATTCAAGAAGAGACCATGCTATGGGGTAATCTTCAAAAGTTTTCTTAATAGCCAGGTCCCTCTCGAAGGTGAATTTGATATACTCTTCTGGCCAAGGAAATCCATTGAACATGATATCTGGAGATATTAACTCCACTAAAAGAAGAGCAACAGTAGAAGCTCCTTCTCCATTAGCCTGAGATGCACAGCAAATACTAAGAGTATTAAGCAGGAGCTGAGTGTGAAGTCTGACTATATCAGAAGAGAGGGGAATGTTCTGTTGGTGGTGGGGTGCAGTTCTCCCATTTCCAATAATACCCATGTGAAAAATGCTAGTGTGAGACTGGGGAACTTTCACCCATGAATTAAACTGCCTATTGGCTTTGATTAACATTTCTCCAGGAACTTCCTTTAAATCAATTTGAGCTTTTTCCTGTGCACCAAAAAGATGAGCACACTCAGGTCGAAACACTCCTTCAACAAGAAGGCGAATAATAAGGTTGAGAGCAAGAGAGGAGTGAGCTAACTGACTTAACACCCGCTGGCACCTTCCAATATTACAAATCTTTTTGGTAACATTTGATTCGTGTAGGCTACTGAAAAAATAAAAAATAATAGCATGGCTCAAACCTAAGGTATGACCTACAGGAATGGGTCTCTTCAGAGGCAACTGACACAGCACCTGTACAGCAGCAGTGCCAAGTGCAAGGTTATTGATAAGCTCAGCTAACAGGGGTATATTTGTCAAAATGGCCTCTGTTAGTGATGGATGGATGTGCAACCTTTCTTTACGACCTCTACAAAGCATGGTCTCCAAACTAATAAGTGAAGTCAGGATAGTGGAAGATCCTGTTTGAGGCTGAAGTGCCCCAGCAATTGCAGTAGAAAGTGGTGAATCTGGTGTATGTTGGAACACATGATATATCATCAAAGCTGTGATGACAGCAGACAGAATTTCCTGAAGGCCAACTGTTCCATCTTGAGTGCGACAGTGTAGCAGGTGACCAAGTGTAGTAGTAGCTGTTGCAGGTCCTTGTTGTACTACTACTAATGTGATCAACTGTTTCAAGTGACCAATTACTGCCTGACTACCAGGACTGGCTAATGTTTCTTCTACAAGGCCTGCAACAGGAGATATGGCTTTACCACCTACTGCCATTCCCACATCACTTCCGTCTAACCCACCTCCACGAAGGCCAACCAGAAAAGGAATGTGAATACGACTGGAGCCAGCATTTCTCCTCATGTAAGTGACCATGCATATCTCCCCTACCACACCTTGTAATATATTATTAACAGCAGAAGCAACAGCAACAGGTAATTTAGGTGTAGGTGCTGCCCCCTGGAGTAGCAGATGTAGAAGGGAAGGTGCAGCAGATCCACCTGTATCTAATACTAAGTGAACCACCATTTCTTGTAATTGGGCATGTGTTGTAAAATATTTTGGAACCCACCATCCAACTTGGTTTGCCAGAGCAGCAAGGCGGTCACCTGGCATTAAGAGCGTGTCCAACCCTGAGGTAAGAGCAGCCAACACAGCTCTTGACCTACTAGTGACAGCTAGGCACAACAGAAATGGAACTGAAGCTTTTGTCTCTGGATCTGATGCTCCATTAAATGTACGTAGTAAAATGGCATGTAGACTTCTGCGAATGTCTGGCAAATGGCGATCTGCCAAATGACTCAAAATCTTATTAACACTGGCTAGCTGGTGTTCAGGTGGTCGCCCATGACACGATGCAAAACTTCGCAGTCCAAGAGCCAGCACCCGACTTATGACAGTAGCTGGGAAGGAACAGCCAACATGCGCTACTAACCAGTCAAGTGCTGGTCCACTAGCAGCACTTGCATCAAGAAGAGCAGCCACAGCAGTATCAGGATCATGAGCCACACACACCACAGTAAGTGATGCCAGAGTACGTGCAGGGCTACATGACAACCAACCAGCAACTACCTCCTCCAGGGTAGCATCACCACGACCTACTACTGTGTTAGCCCATTCTACAGACCAACGCCCCAACTGTTCTACAGCCCACTGGCTAACAAGAGGTCCCCAAACCCCAGGAGTAGATTCCAACAGATCCCCCAACAAGCCTTCAAGTTGTCCAGAAAGCCCTTCATCCACAATCTCAGTGCTTCGAGAATTATCTCCAGCGCTGTATCCTCGCATATGAGATGACACCTGAAATAAAATAAATAATAAGTGTGTGTGTAGGTAATATTATTTAGAAAGTGTGAATTCACTGTTATTTAACAGTATATTTATATGCACATACAAAATTATATATAACTGTAGTTACAAGAGCAGAGCTGTGCTCATAACTCCCCATCTTTCAGTGCTTAATTTCTCGTAGATTATTTTTAATTTTCTAGCGGTTGTAACATTTACTACCTCTTGGATCCCATTCTAGTATATTCCTTTGGATTTATGATAAAATGATAAAATCTCCCATTAACAGTTTTTAGCAATTAATGCTGTCCTTAAAGATCTACTCCTTTAATTACACTTGAAATTTTTTTTATCCTGTACGTACCTACTATCCTATTTCAGTATTCTTGATAAAATTAATAGGAAAAACTATACAGTAAGAGACACTGAAGTAAAATACAATAAAGATGTAGTCATCATCTTTTTATGCTCAGACAATGACCCCATCTACATACCTGTCTCGACAGTGTGTGTGCCAGAAAAGCCAGAGCTGCAGGTCGAGCTGGGGGTAAATTCCGCAAGAGAAAGAGAGCCGTTTCAGCTGTGGTTTGTTCTTCCCCCTCACTGATGGCATCTCTTCTTCCCCCATGACTCCTTTTATCAGATGTTGTCAAAGCCAGATTCAGGAAGCGGTCAAGCTCAGTCAAGAGCATGGTGGTTGAGATGCCCCGTCCACCAGAATCCATGTTAACACCACGGCCTCCTTCCATCTGGCCAGTCACCACCATTGTAGTACACCAGTTACAGTTCTTAATGGCACTACCTGCAAAACCCTAATAACAAAATAATATAAGATGTAAGTTGTATTGCATTAATATGAAACAATGCTGCTAGTGATGTTAAATGATTAGATATGATAAAGAAATAGGTCAATAATATATTACAAGGACCCCAAAGGAAATAAGTCACTTTGTCTGGCTTTTTGAGGTTATTCTAGGTAATTTAGATATATGTTACTATGTATGATAATTGTACTTGTGTGTATAGTAATACCTTGCATAGTACAGTTTTGAACAGTACAGGTTTTGATATAATATGATTTATAAATAAAAGGGTATAAATTTTATTTAACCGCATTATGCACCGATACCAGACTGCTGCTATGTACTGGACTAGCTTGATGCAAACATCAGTATCACTCCAAACTCTGAGCAGTGAAGTTGTGTAGTCTTATACAGTGTATATACGTATCCATAATTTTATCTTTATTATATAAAATACTCTTACCCCTTTTGTATGCAAATACAGCTTCTCCTCACTTAGCAATATACTCGTTTACTGACAACTCGGACTTATGACGGGCTCTCTGACTGTTTATTACAATATACAGTACACTACTGTATAAACATTTAAAATGTACTAAAAATGTTATAAATTATGCAAAGGTGACACTAAAACAATATCAAACATGGTTGACACAAACCCACTACCATTATAGTATGCTCTTTGTTGAGCGATGAATTTGTTTACCAATGTGGTCTTAGGAACGGAACTCTGTCATTAAGTAAGGAGAGGCTGTATAAGTGGAAAGAGGAAATGCAATGATGCTAAGCATTCTAGTAAATATAAATGGTTAACATAAGATGAAAAACTAGAAATTATAAAACATGAAGATGGTGCATCATATGCTAAAACAGCAGGTGACAAGAAAATGAATGAAGCATCGGTATATGCACACATAAGGAATAAAGATAAAATAAAGACATGGAGTGGCTACAGCATCTTATATGTCAAGAGTGACTTAAAAATCAAGTTCTGAAGTGGATAATGTGGAACATCTTTTAATGTTGTAGATTAAAGACTGCAGCCAGAAAAGAAATCCATTAAATCAGATGATGTTTCAAGCTAAAGTAATAAGTCTCTATTCAGTGTTAAAAAAAAAGAAAATGGCAATGACGTTTTTCAGTAAATCGTGGCTGGTTTTACAACTTTAAAATGCGTATGGCACTCCATAATGTTCGAATTACTGGTCAATGAGGTAGCTACATTCCGATGACCTTGATGATGCAACATTTATGGAAAGAGATCAGCAACATTTATATGGAAAAAACATAGGAAAATCAAGAAGAAAATGCTGTACCCACGAAAGAATTCACACTGGATGAACTATCAACATTAACCGTGAAGGTAGATGCTTGTGATTTCATAATGAATGCGGACCCAAACACTGAATGAGGCATTAGTGTTAAGGAAGTGTTATAAAATGCTATTCAGTGCTATAAAGATGTACTATTTCCTCGTTTTTATCTTTTGTAATTTCTTTATTTGTAACTGTGTGCACTGATCTGTACTAAGCAAACAGCTAAATACTTTTGTGATCTGACACATTTAACCCTTAAACTGTCCAAATGTAGATCTACATTCACGTGTGTTGCGCTCTGACCTTGATTTTCCCCACTTGAAAGCATGTAAAAAAATAAAAGTACAGATCTATGTTCGGAGCCCCCCGCACGTGGACGTAGATTTTCGTTTGGACAGTTTAAGGGTTAATCATATTGCTGAAGCGCATTAAATTAAAACACACTTTAATAATACCTTGATCAGTATGGTACTGTATAGTATGATGTTTTTTGACATGCACAATCATACTGTGCAAGGTATTGCTGTACCTGTAGCTAAATAAACTTATATACTCATGTTCTACATTCCCCCAAGTCAGAACCCTGTCAACATTACACACTATCCACACTATTTCCATATCCATAACACAAGAAAAACACTTACCTGTTGTGGAAATTGTTATTTATTGAGATATTAGCCATAATAATAATAATAAAATAATAAAAGCAACATTCTTAGCTCACACACTGAGAGACTGGAGATTGATCCCTGTACAAGTGAAACATTGGGCATGTTTCCTTACACCTGCTGCCCCTTGTCACCAGCAGTAAGTAGGTACATGGGCTTTATATAATAATAATAATATAATAATATCTATTTCTACAAGTACATGTACATGGGAAGTACAGTGCCTGCACTCTGAAGGAGGGGTGTAAATGTTGCAGTTTAAAAACTGTAGTGTAAAGCACCCTTCTGGCAAGACAGTGATGGAGTGAATGATGGTGAAAGTTTTTCTTTTACGGGCCACCCTGCCTTGGTGGGAATCGGCCAGTGTGATAATAAAAAAAATAAAATAACATGTACAAGGAATACAGGTCTAGCTGACATCAATGATACACTACTATATTGAAAGCCGCTTGTTATGCAGAGCATTTCTGGCAAATTAGGTCAATTTTGTCCCAAGATGTGACCCACATCAGTTGACTAACGCTCAGGTACCCATTTTTACTGATGGGTGAACATGGACAACCGGTGTATGGAAACACGTCCAATGTTACCACCCTTTGCTATGAGTCGAATCCCTGACCCCTCACCATGTGAAGAGATAGCCTTTGCCACCAGGCCACAGGCCATCGTTAGTCAACTGTTGCGAGTCATGCCCTGAAGATGATTACATCACCCCGTTGGAAATAAGACAATCTCTGATGACAGGTGTTAATGTTGCAGTTTTATAACTGTAGTGTAAGCATGCCTCTGGCAAGACAGTGATGGGGTGAATGATGATTAAAGTTTTTCTTTTTCAGACCACCCTGCCTTGGTGGGAAGCAGCCGATGTGTTAATAAAAAAAATAATCTCTGATGACTCATGGATTTTTATTAGGGGTATCCTGGGTGGTTAAACCTCTGACTTAAAAATCTGAATGAAATCTTATAATAATAATAATAATAATAATAATAATTTATTATTTTATGTTATGCTAGGGTGGATCAAGTTACATTTGGTTTTTACATTTCCACAAATAAAAGCTTTCTCAAATGCACATCCACATTAATTTTGGACAATTTAGCTCACAAAATAATGATGAAGTGGGACCCAGGAATAAAGTTCAATTTCACTAAGAGACTTTTAATGAAAGACAAGATTTGCTCAGATTTTTAACCCAGAGGGTTAAAAATCAGTGTATCATTGGGGACTGTCTGCCTTATTTCCACTGGGGTCCTTTTAATCTTGCCTCCTTGGATACAGCCCACACTAGTTGGCTAACACCCAGGTACCTACTTGCTGCTAGGTGAAAAAGGACAATAGGTGTAAGGAAACATGCCCAACATTTCCACCACGCAGGGGATTGAACCATGAACACTCATGTGAGGCGAGAGCGTTGACAACCAAGCCACAACCCATTGCATTGGACTAATGCAATGGGTTGTGGACTGCAATGATGATTATCACAGTAATACACAATAGATCTAATTAATTAATCTTCCCAATACTAGTTACTAGAATAATGCACACTTCTTCACATTAGGTAATTTTACTGCTATTGTAAGTTTATTTAGGTACAGGTTCACATAAGTACAATTATCATACATAGTAACAGAAGTCTAAATTACCTAGGATAACCCAAAAAAAGTCAAAGTGACTTATTTCCTTTGGGGTCCTTGTAATTTATGTAAAACTTTATACAGTATGTACATGCAGTATATATAACGTTCAATTTTATTGCTGTAATAAGACTGGATTCTCAGCCTCATCGACAAACCACAGAAAAAAAGCATTAAGTTAGCCAGGTTAATAAGGCCGGGTTGTAAAGACCCGTAGCTCAACTGGTGGCACTCAGCTCACACACTGAGGTCCATGGTTCAATCCTCAGTAAGGGTGGAAACATTAGGATGTGTTTCTTTAAGACACCTGCTGTCCCTGTTCACCTAGCAGTAAGTAAGTACTTGAGTTAGTTGACTGGTGTGGGTTGCATCTTGGGAAAAAAATTAGCCTAATTTGCCTGCAGTGCTCTGCATAACCAGGGACTTTCTATATACCATGTCACTGATGTCAGCTATGACCAGCTGGGCTGTGGTTCATACACTGGATTGCGTGCAGCCAGCAGTAACAGCCTGGTTGATCAAGCCCTGATCCACCACAGGGCCTGGTCACAGACCGGGCCGCAGGGGCACTGACCCCCAGAACTCTCTCCAGGTAAACTCCAGGTATGGTCTGTATACATAAGAACATGGGAAAGCCCCATGTATTTGTGCTTGTAGAAATAAAGATTATTATTATTATGATGTTAATGAATATTGGTTATTTTTCCTATAAATTTTGTTTAAGGTGTGGAAGACAAAGTTAGGCTGGGTATTTACCTGAGTAAACTGAACAGATAAGTCACTCTGTCTGACTTTTTTGGGTTATCCTAGGTTCTCTACACATATGCTGCTATGTATGATAATTATATGTAACTGTATTTGTGTATACCTGAATAAACTTACTTACTTACTTACTATATAAACTTTTAAGTTGTACTGGAAGATGAGGAGCTACATTCAATTATTATTATAATCATGGGAGCGCTAAACCCGTAGGATTCTACAGCGCCTATGGGGGGGGGATGGAAAGGTATTCAGGCTTAATTCCGGTAACTGGAGCACGGATCCAATTCCCTAGATCAAGAGCTCCTCACCAGCATCAAGGAACCTCCCTTGAGGGGTATTACACTCAGGAAAGTACTAAACCCATCAGGGTTATTCATCGCTCACCGGTTAAACCGTCGATTGATAAAGCTGTATTTCTTGATTGATAAATCTATATTTCAGCTGAACATGACCTTGACAGCATCACAGACTCACTGACGCTCAACGAAACGATCCCATATTACGTTAAAATGTTATATTTATTCCCAAATTTAAGTGTTCCTCGTATTACGTTAAGTTGTTGATGTTGTTGTTGCTTTTGAAGGGCCACGAGGACGAGTACCGTATATACCACCACCTTGATGCTGGTGAGGGGCTCTTGATCTAGGGAACTGGATCTGTGATCCAGTTACCTGAATTGAGCCTGAATACCTTCTATTCCCCCCCCCACAGGCACTGTGTAATCCCTACGGGTTTAGCGCTCCCATAATAATAATAATAATAATAAAAACCCTATGAACCAGGATGACATAGTAATAATAATAATAATCTTTATTTCTACAGGAACATGTACAAGGTATACAAACCATAGCTGACATCAGTGATAATATATAGAAAGCCCCTTGTTATGCATGTTATTATTATGGGGGAGCGCTAAACTAGTAGGGATTATACAGCACCTGGGCTCAATTCAGGGAACTGGAGCACAGATCCAATTCACTAGATCAAGAGCCCCTCACCAGCGTCAAGGAACCTCCCTTGAGGGGCCTTGTTAGTTATGCAGATCATTTCAGGCAAATTAGCTTAATTTTGTTCCCAGGATGCGACCCCACACCAGTCGACTAACACGCCCTAATGTCGTCACCCGTACCGGGAATCGAACTACGGACCTCATTGTACGAGTTAAGTGCACTATCAACCGAGCTACGGGAGACCGTTTTATTTAGGTACAGGTCCACTATTAATAATAATAATAATAATAATAATAATAATAATAATATTATTATTATTATTATTATTATTATTATTATTATTATTATTATTAATTATTATTATCATCAAAAGAAGCGCTAAACCGCAAGGGTTATACAGCAGTACAGGTCCACATAAGTACAATTATTATACATGGTATTATTATTATTATAATCAAGGGGAAGCGCTAAACCCGGAGGATTATACAGCGCCTGGGGGGGGGTATGTGGAAGGCATTCAGGCTTAATTCGGGGAACTGGAGCACAGATCCAATTCCCTAAATCAAGAGCCCCTCACCAACATCAAGGAACCTTCCTTGAGGGGATTATACATAGTAACTTACTGTAAATTACCTAGGATAACACAAAAGTCAGACGAATCTCTGGGTTCGATTCCCAGCGAAGGTAGAAACATTGGGCTTGTTTCCTTACACCAGTTGTCCCTGTTCACTCATCAGTAAAATGGGTACCTGGGTGTTAGTCAACTGGTGTGGGTCGCATCCTGAGACAAAACTGACCTAATTTGCCCGAAATGCTCTGCATAACAAGGGGTTTTCTATATAGTAGTATGTCATTGATGTCAGGTAGGACTGTATACCTTGTACATGTACTGGTAAAAATTAAGAAATTATATTATTATTAGGGTCCTTATAATATATTATTTAAAGCCTGCCAAAGTCTCTGGGCGAGTAATGGAGAGAAAATAAGTTTCTTGTTAATCAAGAGACAGGAACAATTACTTTTCAGGATGCGTCCAGTTCTGCATAGAGATTATGGGTGAAAATATTCCCAATTAGTTCTAAGGGGACATGAACAGTGGAATGCTGTTGGTTTTAAAGGTAGCGACAGGTGAAGGAGTTGTCTTTATCCTACCGTCATTTTGGCAGGTTGAACAAACGTGTCACAGATGGTTTATATAACTATGGGGTGCATCATGTGTGATAAACCTGTATATAATTTAATGCTATGCATCATGAAATATAAACTTTAATATGCTATACTATTACATTCATGGGGAGCGCTAAACCTGCAGGGATCACACACTCAGGTTAGAACCAATGAAGGGATGATCAGGTCCAATTCCCTGGATAAAGAACTCCTCACTAGCCTCAAGGAACCGCCAGAGTATTATGTTCATGGAGCACTAAACCCATACGAATCGTACAGCGCCTAGAGATTAGGAGGTACTCAGATTCAATCCAAGGTAGGGCAGACAGCTTTAATTCCTTGGAAGGATGGCTCTACCTGGGAGAGCCGTATAAAATTTGCCTTCAAATAATCAGCTTTTATTACACTCATGATAGTAATAAATATTATTACTATCATGGGGAAGCGCTAAACCCGTAGGGATTGTACAGTGTGGGGTAGGGGGGTGACGGAAGGTATTCACACTCAATTCAGGGAATTAGAACACAGATAATTCCCCAGATCAAGAGCCCCTAACCAGCATCAAAGAACTTCCCTTGACGGGTTAGCGTAGACAAGATCGGAGTTGTATCAAGGCCAAAAAACTGCCTATAATTAAGAAAAATGGGTTAACGATCAAAGTAGATTCAGCCGCCTAAGACAGGTATTATTTATTTGCGCGATATGAGGCCTCCGCAACATTAATAATAATAATAAATTTATTTTAACATGATACATGTTTGTACAAAGGAGTATAACAACTGAGTGTACATGCCAAAAGCTTCTTTATATGCAGAGCATTTCGGGCAGACTTAAGACTAAGTTGAAGATTGAGACACTATTGCAGCATATGGGAATCTTTATTCAGGAAACGTTTCGCCACACAGTGGCTTCATCAGTCCAATACAAAGAGGAAGGCGTAAGGAGAGGAGGAGAATGAGGTAATCAGTCCCTCAGCCTGGAGTCGATGTGTTCAGTCCATCATTCTACAAGATTGATGGACTGAACACATCGACTCCAGGCTGAGGGACTGATTACCTCATTCTCCTCCTCTCCTTACGCCTTCCTCTTTGTATTGGACTGATGAAGCCACTGTGTGGCGAAACGTTTCCTGAATAAAGATTCCCATATGCTGCAATAGTGTCTCAATCTTCAACTTGTCGGTTTTTCAAACCATTCATCACAAGACTAACTTAAGATTAATAAGGCAATAACAGTGCAGTAATTGTACATATGGTTATTAGGTGAGTTACAATGAATACAAGAAAATTGAATATTATACTAGGTCACAAAGTAGTGGCCAAGGAATTTAAGTCATAGACGGGAGAGAGCAGTCTCCCAACCTCGACATTGGTGACAAGAAACCTACATTTGGTTTAATAGAATGTAGTTTGTTATGGAGCAGATCAGACCAACGTTGTTATCAACGGGTGTGAAGATAAGATTTCGTTCGGATTTTTAACCCCGGAGGGTTAGCCACCCAGGATAACCCAAGAAAGTCAGTGCGTCATCGAGGACTGTAACTTATTTCCATTGGGGCCCTCAATCTTGTCCCCCAGGATGCGACCCACACCAGTCGACTAACACCCAGGTACCTATTTGCTGCTAGATGAACAGGACAACAGGTGTAAGGAAATGTGTCGAAATGTTTCCACTAACCGGGAATCGTACCCGGGCCCTCCGTGTGTGAAGCGGGAGCTTTAGCCACCAGGCCACCGGGCCTGGTTAGCAATTACGGATATTGTTGCTTCATTGAAGATGTCAGGTCCATGATCACGATAAAGTGGGGATCAGGGATACCAAAAAGGGTGGGTAGAATGTCGGTACCGTTATCAGGCAACGTGCGCCACATTACTTGCAAAAACAAAGAAATAGTTTTCTGTTGGATCCCTGGTCACGTTGATGTTCAGGGTAACGAGCTGTGCGGTCTGCAGTACATGACCTCCCGGTTTCATAGAGAGGTATTCCATTCTCGGAATATTTCACTGTAATCTTGACTCGCCTTCACAACAACGTTGTCTGATATGACTCATAACAAATTACATTCTATCAAGCCAACGTTGAGTTTCTGGCATTATCATCATCAATACCGAGTTTGGGAGACAACTCTCTCCCATCTTAGCATTGGACACGCTTGTCTCACTTACGGGTATCTCACGGAGAGAAGCCCTGTTCCACCCTGTGAGAATTATCTAGTCCGTTTCAATTTCCCATGTTCTATTGGACTGTCCCGTCTGTCAACGAGCACGCAGAATTTTCCTGGCTGACGGCCCCACCTTTTAACAGATTTCCTTTTCGACTTTTTGACAGGAACTGATTTATTACACAAACTTTGATATTATTATAAAAAAGAAGCGCTAAACCACAAGGGCTATACAGCGACAAACTTTGATAATCCTTCCTTTAGCATTCCATATAGCCCTTCCTAACCTTACTTTCGTTGTCCTCTCCACATTACTTATCCTTACATCCTGCATCAATCCCTGCCCTGCATCTCTATATGACCCTAGTAGGTTTAGCGCTTCTTTTTTATAATAATCGGACGAGTGATAACCCCAGAGCACTTCCGGGTTCATTATTATTATAATAAAAAAAGAAGCGCTAAGCCACAAGGGCTATACAGCACTTCCGGGTTCAGTGGAGGGTCCATGGCCGTGCTGGGAACAGTAGTGGGTCACAGCCACTTGGGATCCAGGATAAGAACATAAGAAAAAAGGAACACTGCAACAGGCCTACTCATGGAATTCCCCTAATAATGGCAATCAAGTCTCCGTCCCTGACTTTCGCTTGGCTGATTTCATAGGACTGAAAAATTACTTAGGTGGGCTGAACTGGAATGACCTGACTAAGGGTCAGGTAGGTGGTGATGGTTGCCGATATGATGCTTTCCAGGGCATAGTTCTAGCTGCTCAGTCAAATTATTTTCCAAATAGGGAAATCAGATCAAACAAAAATGATCCTAAATGGATGAACAATAGATTAAAATATCTGATTGGTCAAAAGAGAGGCATATATAGGCAAATCAAAAGAGGAGAGGGGCAATTAAGAAATCGATATATTCAGTTAAAGAGAGAAATAAAAAAGGGAATTAGAAAAGCAAAAAGAGATTATGAGGTTAAAGTTGCAAAAGAATCGAAGACTAACCCAAAAGGATTCTTTCAGGTATACAGAAGTAAGATCAGGGACAAGATAGGCCCACTCAAAAGTTCCTCGGGTCAGCTCACTGACAGTGATAAGGAAATGTGTGGAATTTTTAACACATACTTCCTCTCAGTTTTTACACAGGAGGATACCAGCGATATTCCAGTAATGATAAATTATGTAGAACAGGACGATAATAAACTGTGCACTATTAGGGTCACAAGTGACATGGTCCTTAGGCAAATAGATAAATTAAAACCTAACAAATCCCCAGGCCCTGATGAACTGTATGCAAGGGTTCTAAAGGAATGTAAAGAGGAGCTTAGCACACCTTTGGCTAATCTTTTCAACATATCACTACAATGGAAATAAATGGTATAAAATACCGACACAATGG